TAAAACCTCCTGCTAGTTATAACTTGTCTTTTACCCGATATTCTTCTGTAATTTCACCGTTTGCATGGAGTAGGAACCGTCGTTGTTATTGTTTTTTCATTGTTACGTTTCAGTATATATTAACAATGTATGCAACAATAAGTTTCCATACTGAACCTTTCTGCCTTTCTGGGAGGTGAACACTGCTTAATAAAGGAGACCGCCTCCGTGGTCAGTGGCAGAGCGTCCGCCCCGGCCACATCACACCAAAATACGTTAAATGATGGTACTTGTTGTAACCCTGCCTGGTGCTGGGCGTTTAGGAGCTGAAACAAGGACTGTCGGCTCGGAGACAGTATCCTGTGTCTGAGTAGGATATTCATGTTAAACAGCATTAGTCCGGACAAGTACACACACACACACACACACACACACACACACACACACACACACACACACATGCACGCACACACACACGAGCACGCACGCACACACACACACACACACACGCATACACGTAGCTGTATATGTGCAATGATCTTGAACCTCACCTCTCTTTAATAAAGGATGTTACTGACCAATTGTGTCACTGTTTCTATAAATAATAACAGACAGACAGACTATTTTTATGATCAGTGTTAAGACATAAATATAAACACATGTAAGTACAATTACGTCACTCGCAAATGGAAATTTGGGAGTTTTACGTGATACACATTGTTTTATGCTGTCATATTAGGGCGTGTTCACCAAGACAGTTTTCACACTGACATACGCACACGCACACGCACACGCACACGCACACACACATACGCGCGGAATCGAACTCATTTCTTCGATGTGATGAGCGAATACTTTATCAACTAGTCTTCACAACAGCTCCAAGTTGGGATAAGTGAGTGAATGGGCGTCGCTTCGGTCGTCAGCATTGTTATGACATGAACCCTCAGCCCGATGGCACAATACCAAAATATCTGTCCCCCGCGCCATCGGTCAGTACTGTTGTTCTCGCACCTTGTCATACCGGCAGGGGTTTATCTACATTTGCTGATATATTTGGTCCCGAGTCTACATACAATGTCAGATATGATCCCCAAATTATCAAATTACAAATTTCCCGAAACCGTGACACTATCATAGTAATAACTTTAATATATTATTGCTTTATAGAGATGATACTTAGTTTCATCTTCCCGAGGCAAAGGAGTTAACGGACAACAAACTGGACAGTTAATTCACTGGCCTAGGGAAGATGCGTATTTTACTGATAACAGGGTCATTACCGTATTGAATGCAATGTCAGAATAGGGGGTAAAATACCTAAGAATTTAGGAAAATACTTTAAATTTTAAAATAATCACAATTTTAACCAAAATATGGCTTTATCGCCAGACACTCCACTCCTAGATAAATGCCTGCATCGTAAGGATACGACGAAACACAATAAATCAGGCACTAATTTTTTGGGATTTCCTCGAAGTTGCTTTTCCATAGTGTCCATACCCAGCGGCCATTTTAACCATCCAATCCTCACTTAGTGGGCCCTCAGTTTACAAAATGTAAAGCGGAGGGAATGATGGCGATGGAATCAAAGTGTCGTGTATTCTCAACAACAGATTGACAAGGATATAGATGAACATGTTTACAGGAAGTATTATCACTGAGCACTGTAATTTGTGCGTCACGCTGATTGTCAGAGAAGTCGACCGCACTTAGTTTCCAGGGAAGTGGCGGCATCAACAGGTTCGTAGAGTCAACTCTTCGTGGAACTGCAGGAAGGGACAGCGACACCCTCATGGGTCTAGTTGCGCAGTTTCCGTGTCATAGATTATCTGCGTCGGAGTTGGCTCGGACTGATCTCGCTGACGTAGAGAACTGGCTATCTTCCCCGCTACTTGGGCCCACTTGCACAAATCGATCTTAGCGCTAGGACTACTGTAAGCCTATGTTAAAGTATGGGAGTTAAGATCATCTTAGCGCTAAGATCGCTTTGAGCAGGTGAGCCCTGGGCATTGTTCCACAAAGCGATCTTAGCGCTATAACAGTCGTACGTCTATGTTAAAGTATGGGAGTTACGATCAACTTAGCGCTAAGATCGCTTTGTGAAACGGGGCCCTGGTCTCCTGGCGGATGGTTGTGTGAAGGCACATTCCGGACAAACCGGTGGTCTGTGGTACACTTCCCTAGGCATACATCCTGTACATAGACTGACGATAAAGGTATCCTTTTTTTAAATTACATCTCTACGAAATAAAAAAATAACATCCAAATGGAGCCCAGAACAATGCCTAGTGCTTAACTTCAGGACAGAGGCAGTCTAGACTTGCCATATCATTCTAGGCTTCTAGACTTATTTATTCTCAATAGAAACTAGGCGCCAGAATGACATTTCCAGTATACACAAGTATGTCGCTGGTTGTAGAGGCTGTGGTCATGCATCTAATAGGATTTGTTGACAAGCTTTTTGTGTTGTGAAGTATTCGACTTTCTTAAGATTCGCCATGGTTTGAACCAAGAATTTCCTGACAGGCATTTTACAAAGATCCTTCTTCACCATGAGTAAACTAAATATAACAAAACATCTTGCACCATTTCCAGCTCAAACTTGGCTTACACCAGGTAACACATGCACAGACACTAAAACAACAGACCCGTGAAGATTCCGGGGTAGAATAGGTCTTCAGCAACCCATGCTTGCCGTAATAGGCGACTATGCTTGTCCCAAGAGGCGACTAACGGGATCGGATGGTCAGGCTCGCTGACTTGCTTGATACGTGCCATTGATCCCAATTGAGTGGATAGATGCTCATGATATCAATCACTGGATTGTCTGGTGCAGACTCGATTATTTACAGACCGCCGTCATATAGCTGGAAATATTGCTGAGTGCGGCGTTAAACAACAAACAAACCAAACTATACCACAAAAACAACAAACTTACTAACCCTTCGCGCAAATCTTTCCGCTTTTTTGTTTGTTTGCGAATTAACAGGTTCCTGTTCATGCTTGCGATAGGCTGTGGAGGGAGAGAAGCGACACCATGCACGGGAACCGGGAACTGGTCTATTTAAGAGGTAAAACATTCTGTATTTTCGATTTGATAGAGCCAGGTTACCTGTATATTTAACCGCACAAATTGAATTTGGAACGGGTTTACTGCTTCACCGCACGTCACTCCGTTCATTGGGATGCAAAGGTTATGACGTCACAGTCGGCTACAGAAAAGGCGCCAAATTTCAACCTCCCTGCTTTTCCTAAAACTTACACTATCTGCATTTTGAAGCCCATAAGTGTACATGTTATGGTTTTAAAATGGCCTACTGACAATAACTGAGAAATAAGTTTTTTTCAGTAATACTAGAATTGAGCCTCATCACAGTTTCTTTTGATATCAAATACTCGTTGATAAAGGTCTAAAACTTCGCGGCAAGTCTCGGAGGTTTGATCTTTTCATGGACTTGTGCTGATGTATATCATGTCAAAAGACGCGAGGGTGGGATTCTATTTACACCCAAAACATTTACAGTTTGTAAACAGTAATAACCAGTGTCTTGTGAGCAAAACATAGAACTAACAAGCTTCAGTAGCAGAGCGATTATAGTGATTTATCATCCCAAACTGGCTCCCACAGGAGATATCGCTTGGGTGAGATCAAGCGATATCTACATTGTAGATATAGATATTGTTCCGTGAAAGTTATGTTCACAGCAGTGAAATAGCAAGTGTTATGTTCACTACAGTGAAATATCAATTGTTATATTCACTTCAATGAAAATATCACTTTCTTCAACTTCGGAAAATACAGTCTTTCACACGTAAGTATATAATAAAATTCCCAATCGAACATTACCCACAGGACAATTCCCCACAGCGCATTTCCCAACAGGATTTTCCCACAGGACAATACAATACCAACAAAGACACTTCTTCCACCAATAAAGGGATAGTTCCCAACACCCAACAATAACTTGCTGTTAGTGTGACAGAAGGATTTGTTTTCTAAGCATTATATTATAGGAGCAGATGAATAAAGGGTTTGTGTTCCTTATAATAAACAGTTTAGTAGTGAATGATTACTGCTTTAAAAAAAAACCTCCGTTCAATAAAGAACAATCATTATCTTATTATTCTCTTGAGGATTTCATCTTCAAAAACACATTCTCTTACTTTTATCAATTGACTTATTCATATACTTGTAGTTGGTGAATATGTATTCTACCATGAATTTGGAATTTACTCGATTCTGATTAGTCAATCAGAGGCTATTAAATCACAATAAACCCCCTCTGATTGAAACAGCTGGTTTGACGGCCGCATCACCGCGGGAGCTAATATTCATAGAATAGTTTTTTTTCAGTCATTGTCGGTAGGCATATTTAAATAATTATATCTACAATTACAGGTTACAAAATGCACAGATGCGGTTACTACAATATTCAATTGATGTGTGGAAATACATTTCGTGCATAAAACACGATAGCAATCTACAAAGGGACTGTATTTATATTTTGGAGACAACAGAGAGCTTGGAATTTTGGCGCTTTTCTATGTACGACTATGGCGTCATATATTTGCGTCACAATGAGCGATATGACGTCATAATGGTGACGCGCGATGTAGAGCGAAAGCCTTGCAAAGCTTGCTTTGTTTTCTTTAGGGATTCCCAACTCATGTTAGCTTACCAAGTTGCCGTGCTTATATGCTTTCAATGCCTGTCATATGTTCGAGTGAAGTATTATGGTGTAAACAAACTGCTTGAGTATACACAGCGCCATATTGTGTTCGGTGATTCCGTAATTCAGATCGACAACCCACTCAAAACACTCGACTAAACCCATGCCGCTTCACTCAGTATATTTGCTGACACCAAAGAGTTCGCGTTTTATTTTGTCATGGTAGAATGGAGATAAACATACTGTGTTTTCAATGTAGAGCTAGGTTACCTGTAGATTTACCTCGCTAAATTGAATTTGGAACCGAACGCGCAGCGTGAGGTTTCAAATTTTAAATTTAGCGCGGTTGTCACGTTGTATGAGATCGAACAGACCGCTAAGCAGTAGCGAGAATATAGGCAATGACAGGCAGTGAACGGTAGCAGCAGCAGACTGGCAGAATGCCCATGTGAAATTTCTCGCAAACCGGCTGCATGGATATTGACATTAAGTGTATTGATTTGTTCACGTGTCTTATCGTATATGAGTCTGAACTTCAGGCTTAGCGTTTCTGGATAAATATTTAATGTCGATGGTGTCGCTTGGTAATACGCTAAATATTAACACAAAAATGTCACCAAGAATTCCCCAACCCTAGACCTGCTTGCTCGGCACGATCACAGACAATGCATTCCAGTATTCTTACAACGGCAGCCTTGTCAATGATATATGTCGCCTCGGTGGGTGCTTCTGTCGGAGACAGATCATGGATTTATCAGAAGTGTGTGAAAAACTGCAGCACAAGCAACTGTACGGACGTAGAGACGTTTCTTAAAAAACAACCATATCATCTTCAGTTGTTGCAGTGGAACTGTACCGATGAATGTCAATATGAGTGTATGTGGTCAACTGTTGAGGCTTTAAGACGTGATGGAAGTGGAGTTCCACAGTTCCATGGGAAGGTAAGGACGAACCAGGGCTGGATTTAGCTTAATAAAACATACACTATTACTGGAAAATGCAACTAAATAATTATGTCTACACGAACCCAGTGCATGTCAAAATCTTTCACATTTGTGGCTAAACCTTTGTGTCCACACAACATTGCTTTTGTAACACATTGATATTTCTAAGCTTTGTTTACAATACTGCTCAAACAGTCACAGTGTTATTGTCATGCTTTTCGGGGGCTTGATGTCCTCAAACTATGGGTACTTCATGGGCATGGGTGCATATGTTTCAACTTTGATAAATTGATGAGATCTGGGTGCAACCTGTTTTTTTCTGGTGCAACTTGGTTTTCATGTCAACATGTTTGTTGGTTTGTTGTTTTACGACGCACTCAGCAATATTCCAGCGATATGACGGCAGTCTCTAAATAATCGAGTCTGGACCAGACAATCCAGCTCGTCACGCCGAAGACCCGGGTTCGATTCCCGACGTGGCTACAATGTGTGAAGCCCATTTCTGGTGTCCCCCGCTGTGATATTCCTGGAATATTGCTAAAAGCGGCGTAAAACCATACTCACTCACTCATGTTTACTTTGCCCCACCATCTCAGAGCTACAGATAAGCTGCGTATTTGCGTAAAATACCCCTAAAAATATTCAAACCTTATTACTTTCAGTTAACTTGCGTACAGAAACGCATGTCTTTTATTAAAAACTCAATTGTATAAAAACAGCACGCGTAAATACCCAATGAAGCTTTTTGGCGGCATGTGTACAACAGAGCTAATTTCCGAAACACAATTACGAGCTTACTTACTTTCCAAATCAAGCCTATATATTTAGAACCGTTATATACATCTAAAAGATTATTTCATTTTTTTAAAATCTCAAAATGTTTACTCATTTTGGGAAAATCCAAAAAGAGTGATGAATAGATGAGTGACAAAATACTGGTTACCAAATTAAAAATGTAATAAACCAATTAAAATAGAAACCATCAGGTAAAACCTCAATTGTTCAAAAAGTTATCTGGAGCTCTGCCATGGGTAGTCTCATTTATCCATACTACCAGGTACCCATCTTACAATCTGAAGTATGGATTATTGAATGAAGAAGTTCAATTTGAATATATATATTGTATATCAGGGTTTAATCTTGACTTTCAAAACTAGGGGTCCAGAGGACCCCCAATTACTAATTTCAAGGGTCCTTACGGGTAAAATATGAGGGTCCTGTAAATTAATGAAATGGTGTTGTTGACTGTTTATAAGATCTAATAATTACCTTAATTACAGGAAGTAAATATTTCTTGTCAAGAATTTGGTGCAGTGAACATTATTGTACATCCCTTGGGATGCAAATATATTTTTGTCTGCATCCATTCTATACATTTGTGCGTAATGGACGCACATTTCTGCGTCGCGTAAAACCCTGCAATGTGTATCGCGATACAACACTCTGTATTGCGATATATTGCTATATGATTTATGTGGCAATATGTCAACCCTTAAACATGCTGAGAACTTCCTTACAAATGTATTAATTATATTTAGGGGGCTGAAGAAAAATAGTTGATCAGTTGATAAATCCAATAATATTAAAAATGCCATTAATATAATTAAGCTTGTGAATTGCATATATCTTACAATATCTGACAACTAATATTACGACCGATGCTCATGTTGTCAATCACTGGATTGTCTGGTCCAGACTCGATTATTTACAGACTGCCGTCATATAGCTGGAATATTGCTGAGTGTGGCATTAAACAACAACAAACAACAACAACAACAGAGGTGTTGGAATCACTTGTGCTCTGTGTAGATATACCCTTTTTATCCCCCCCAGCATATAACATGTATAATGTCTGTCTGTCCCTCCATCCGTCCGTCTTAATTCAGGGTATGAAACTCCCAAAGATTTCAGCCAGACCACAGGACTGGCTAGCTGAAATACTTGCCAGCCCTGACCAAAACCTGCCTGCCCACTATAATCATATGTTTCTCAGGATAAGCTAACGGGGTTTCTTTTTGGTTACATTTTATCATTCATCTTTACATGTGAATTAATGCTTATCATCGGGAAATATTTAGAATATTTTCACATATGAAATATAACCCGACCGTCGGGCAGGGGGATTTGAAAATCTGGCAGCCCGAGTTGAAATCAACCCGTCTCGGACGGTCGGGGGCAGGTATTTCGAACACTGCTTATTTCCAGAGCATAACTTGAAAACCTTGAGAGATTTTCATCGAATCTTTGTACATGTATTAACCAGAGGCTGATTTTGTTGGGATGTCTTCAACTCGTCTAAATAGTTATTATATAAAATAAATAAATATTGTATTGAAGCAAAAGAAATCATATTTCACACAAAAACATACAGCATAATACAGGATTTTTACAGTCGAATTTTAATCTTTCTTTTCCAAGTGGCCGTTTGTCCGCGTCCTTGGGGTACAGGAGCCTGCATCCACTCTGTTCTCCATCCTCAACGCCTTGTCCCGCCTGGGGATGATCAGGTTTCGGTCGCAGGTGTCCAAGTCCTGCCCTCTCTACTATGTCTGGCACGGGGAAGCTATGGTATGTTAACATTTCACTCACCGACGTACCCGTGAAGATCCGGGTTACAATAGTTTTCAGCAACCCATGCTTGCCGAAAAAAATGACAATGTTTGTCAGGATAGGTTGGTCAGGCTCAATGACTTGGCTGATGCATGTCATTGTATCCACATTGCGTAGGTTGATGCTAATGATGGCAATCACTGGATTGTATTGCCTTGACTCGCTTATTTACAGACTGCCGTCATATAGCGGGAATATTTCTGAGTGCGGTGTTAAACAACAAACAAACAAACTTGATGAAACCTCCTCGTCGAACTAAACATCCATGCTTCATGTACATGACGTACGGCACATCCATAGACAGCTGATGTTTGTTTGTTTGTTGTTTTACGGCACACTGAGCAATATTCCAGCTATATGACGGCGGTCTGTATCTAATCAAATCTGAACCAGACAATCCAGTGATTAATATCATGAGCATCGATCCATGCAATTGGGAAACGATGACATGCATCAACCAAGTCAGCGAGCCTGACCACCCGATCCCGTTGGTCACCTCTTATGACAAGCATAGTCGCCTTTTACAGCAAGCATGGGTTGCTGAAGACCTATTCTACCCCGGATCTTCATGGGTCTGATAGTTGATGTACACAGATGTCTTGTACAAAAAATCAAACGTAAAAAATGAAGTGCCTCCCATCACACTGTTTTTAACAATGTTGATAAACTTAAATAATTGATTTATTGTTTACAGGTTGCGATTAATGCTTGGACGTGGTCCACTGTCTTCCATACAAGAGACACCGACTTCACCGAGGTAAGGAACACTTTGGCCAAAACCACCTACTGCTGTTTCAGGGAGCATGGACCAATCAGAAGGGCCTGTAGGCAGGGTTTAGGGTTGTTGTTTTGTTTTTGTAAAATAATGTTTAACACTGATGGCATTTTCAGAAATGATATTAGTTGCAATTTTTCTTGAATTTTAGATCAGAACAGCAATTATAACATGTGGAAACATTCAATGTTTTATCAGAATGAAAATGTCGGATTCTTGACGTCTGTTTCCATAGAACTTTTGGATAGCAAGTGGAACAATGGGTCGGTCAGGTTACCTGAAATACAAGAATGTTTTGGGGGAGAGGCGCCCTGGTCAATAACATACATGTAGCTGGTACATATTATCACCATCAAAAGTTAAATATAACAAATTCAAAATGAGTTGGTAATCAATCTTATTGAAATCAGATCTTTTTCTCCAATATGATACCTCCTCATTGGTTAAGTTTGGGACACCTCAACCAGGAGCAAATTTTGACCTTCAAAATAAAGACTGTGTAGATTCTTTATCCAATCAGACATTCGCTTTCTATAATGACACAGCTCTTGCCGGCTTCATTCATATTGGCCTTTATTCAAAAATTTTGATTTGTACAGATAAAAACCCACACAGACGACAAACGTTTCCTCGATGGTAATCCGTTTTGGGTGTAGAAGCTATGGTGCTCTGAAAGACAGGGTGTATGAAAATATCTACAAAAATAAAATAGCACAGACTTACTTATCTGCATTTGGAACTTGTGGTTTTAGTTTGTTTTTCGAGATACAGAAATCAGTTATGCTGGTCTGAGTGCTTCACTCCCTCATACTAAGACTTTGGAGTCTTTGATGCTGATTGGCTAAGAAGAAAGTTCACCTGACACAACTGCCTATGGACGGTTCCTTAGACCTACAAACAGAGGGGTATCGTATTTGAGTAAAAGATCTGAGATTGTTTATGATTGAATTGGAATATATTAATCAAGACTGGAATGCTGATTAAAGAAGTTCACAATTATTATCATGATAATAAACCAATCAGCCATTCATGATGTTTGTAATTAATCATAATATAAAAATCTGTGGGAATTAATGTGTATGTCCCTTGTACGTCTGAATGGAGAGGGGAGCTGTTGTCTTTGGGGAATAACATTTCCATGATGAAATTCACATATATTTCTTGAAGACAGTGTTTTATGTCGTCATCATGTGTTACCATGGAAACTGATCGACATACACATGATAAAGATGATCTCTGTTTCAGAAAATGGACTATTTCTTTGCCTTTTCCATTGTGCTTTACAATGTGTTTATCTTCAGCTGCAGGTGAGTACAGAGAAGAATTGTAAGTGTTCATGAGGTTGATTGGTTTGTGGTTTTACGCCACACTCAGCAATATTCCAGCTCTATGACGGCGGTCTGTAAATAATTGAGTCTGGACCAGACAATCCAGTGATTGACATCATGAGCATCGATCCACGCAATTGGGATCGATGACATGCATCAACTAAGTCAGCGAGCCTGACCACCCGATCCCGTTAGTCGCCACTTACGACAAGCAGTCTCCTCTTACGGCAAGCATGGGTTGCTGAAGACCTATTCTACCCCGGATCTTCACGGGTCTCATTCAGTTGAAACCAATGATAAAGATGATGAAAGGAAACATGTCAAGATTCTAGTAATACTTTGTTGTTGAGTGATCGAGTATGGTTTTACACCCAATATTCCAGCAATATCACAGCGGGGACACCAGAAATGGGCTTTACCCATTGTACCGATGTCGGGAATCGAACCCGGGTCTTCGGCGAGCGACTTTAAACCACTCGGCTACCCAACCGCCCCCTTTGTTGATGAACACAACATGACTGCAGTGACAGTTTAGTGGTGATGACATTGATGGCTTACAGATGATGTTATTGATGATGATGATGACTTTGATGCGGATGGGAATATAGATGGCAATGATTATAATTATTATTATGATTACTGAATGACGATGTTGATTAGTTGACGATTATGGTGACTATGGTGGTGATGATGAGGTTGATGATGATGTTGCTTTTGAATGTGTCTAGGATTCTGGGGACGAAAGTAAGATGGCGTCAGTGCCTGGTGGGTGTGATCCTTCTCGTCATCTACGCACAACACATCTACTATCTCCATTTCATAAAGTTTGACTACGGTTATAACATGAAGATGAATTTATTCTTTGGTGAGTTTGAAGTTTTCTTCTCTGCCAAAATATTTCTGACGTCAGTGGAGGTTATGGCATGGTACATTATCCCCGTCGGCTGTTCATAATCCGTTAATTTAGGATTCTACATCTTAATTTTGATGTAAGAATGAAATTTTCAGAGAATGTCCAGCACTATTGGACTCAAATTTCAAAACAGTTTTAAAATGTAAATTTTACATAATGTTTTTTATGGTCGAGGAATCACAAGCATTGATTTTATGTGTAGCAGCATCATGGGATGTCCCTCCTAACGACCAATCACATCAGTAAAATAACATAGGGCAACCAATGAAGCAATTAATGTGAACCAGCCCATTTACCACAAGGTGAGAATGATAATGCTCAGTGAAAAGTATCGACAGTAATATGTCTGATATCCTTGGCTTGGCCTCATGGGTGGGTATGAACGCTTTTGAAAAAAAATAATTCTTGCAGGCATCGTGAACTTGGTCGGATGGTTGATCTTGTGTGGCGTGAAGTACAAGAAACAACGCTATGTGTGGAAGTGTGCTGCTGTTGTTTTAGGAATCAATGCGTTGTTGTTGCTGGAGTTGTTTGACTTTCCGCCATTGTGGTGGGCGCTGGATGCACATGCACTGTGGCATGCTGGGACGGCTCCCCTCGGGTGGCTGTTGTACAGGTGAGTTCATCCCTCTGTTGTTGGGGGGGGGGGGGGGGGGGGAGAGAGGTTTTTAAGATAAAGTGGCTAATGTCGACTTCTTGTAAGTCATTGGTCAGTCAAAGTTCGCTTCAGGTTGTTGTGATGTAATGGAATATAATGTTATACTGTTATAATGGAATGTCCTGAGATCTTTGTTTAGCAGAAGCAAATGGTGCCTGTTTCGTTAGAATTGGTGTTAGCTTTATAGTCCTTTGTTTCAGTTTTATCATAGACGATTCCCTGTATCTGAAGCAGTGGGAAGAAGACATGGCACTCAAACTGGATTAACAACAACAACAACAACAACAACAACAACTACAGATAGCATCATCATCAACAACACAAAGGAGTTGATGAACAAGGGAGATATATCTATGGATGTACAACTTCTTTATAACAATGCATGCCACTTTTCGGTGTAGGTACTAACACCGTTGTCAATTGACTTATCTCCCTTGATCATCATACCAACTTCTGAATCATTCGTCACCACTCGCCCCTTTCCGTAACCTGCAAGAAGACTTGTCCCCCCTATGGATGAATGTTATGTGAGAAAAAAAGACAAACCAATCAGAATGCGTGTATGATTTTAAGATCTTCCTCAAAGAATCCCTCAGAAATAATTTTTGATTTTACATGTCTTGCATCTAAAAATATACCTGACACAGTTAAATGTGTTCAACAATCATACTGTATAATTCCGCATGTCCCGATGTGCTTTAAATTACATCTGCAATATATATAACATGCAATGAGTAGACAGTTGTTTTTGGTATGCCCGTTTGCGCTAAGACGGAACCCGGTCGCAAAAATGGCCATGAGAGGGGCATGAGTCGCTATTTGGCTTGTCCGGGAATAACACGATTTGGTCACGAATGCTTCTAAATGCCACTTGAAGACCTTAAGGTAGTTTATGCACTGAATTATTTTTTATCAAGGCACCTTACATTTGTGACTGGTATATGAATGTGTCGCACCTCTCCAACATGGAGTGGTTCACTTTAGCTGCTGATACTGAGCCCAGACATTTTTAAAACTTGGTTTACAAATCCACTGACTCCCAAAAATTGAATGGTTGGAAAATAAAAAAAGTACAGTGTTTTTTTTATTTTGCCAACAAGAAATAAGTAAAATAATGTTTAGTCATTTACAGCCACTATCAAAATAAATAAATTATTTCAGATACTGTAATTGAAACCTGTTAAAAGTTTATCTTAAAGACATCCCCAACTCCATTTAATACCTTTACCATAATAATCCCTAACTTCTGAACATGAAAATCATTAAAAATATATCAAATTGGCATCATTTACAATTATTTGTTTTCAATCTACCAACCGTAATTTTAGGGAACAAAAACTGTGAACCAAAAAGAAGAAATGAAACAAAAATTGGAATAGTGCTGACAAACCAGGTTGCGAATGCAGCAAGGATTATAGAAAAATTTAATGCATTTTTTTAAGATTACCATTTTATAGCTTTTTTGGTAATCATCACTAATCTAAGGAAGAGAGTTTATGAATGTCAACGTCTTTGTTATGAGAAACACAACGTTTCGGAGTATATACTTACTCCTTCATCAGTTGACATCCATTAATTCCTTATGTGTATCACTTCTAAATGCCTTTCAAAGACTTGATCACTAATCTAACGCAATATTTTGAGGAAGCATTAGTGATGTTGCCATGCCATTTTAGAAAGCATTTTCCACAATACAATCATTCATACACAGTAAAATATCCCTGGCTCGATTCCTACTCGATTTCCTGGCTTCACATCCCAAATAACATGTCACAGCCAATCAGAGCGCTGCACACCCACCCACCATGTTGCAATGCATACTCATATTACTTTCAGGAATTCCAAGTAACTTGATAGCCAAACTGGGAAAGAACATTTTGTTCAAATTGTTAAAGTTGTCAATTTCTTAAATTCAGATTTATCTTATTGAATTTGATGCAGTAATGTGAAACTGAGGGTTAATACTTAGCGGTCCTGGTCCCAGTTCCACAAAGCGATCTTAGCGCTACGACAATCTATGCTAAAGTATGGGAGTTACGATCCCCTTAGAACTACGATCGCTTTGTGGAATGGCCCTCTGTTATCAGTGAAATAGACACAAGACACCTCTACAACATTAGTTACACCATCTTCCCGAGGCAAGGGAGTTAACTGACTGTAAAAAGTCCAGTTCCAACCTTGCCGAACAAGGCTGGAATTTCTGGGCTCAATCGTAGCACCATCAGTTATGACCAGTTACGTCCGTTCTATGTCCCTTCTATAGACCAATCAGATTCCGCCTCTCTTATCACTTGCATTTGCTTCAAACAAGACAGGGATGCCATGTCGAGACGATTTGATCGATAATTAAGATCTATATTGTGATAAAACGGGTCTTACTTTGCAAAGTGCATCAAATCATGTGAGCACCCTGATTATAAACATGAAAAGATTTTGAAAATATCTTTTGACGCCGAGTTGATGGCACATATGCTTTGCAAATCAGCACGGCAGTTTACTAACCACATGCCGATTTCATGACATGATTTTGATTGGACTATGCATGGACTCGTTAGTCCAGCCAAACCGTAACTCCATAATACCAGCGTAGTTTGGCAAGGGTGGAAACTGGACCTTTATTGTCAGTTAACTCCCTTGCCTCGGGAAGATGTAGTTCCAAGTACATAACGGGAATTGGGACATGTTTTATGCCTCTATAGACATTTTCACTGACATTGGCTGTAGGCTTTGTGCCATACTTGGGCCATACTTAGACCTTGGAGCAGGTCTAGATAAATTCCTGACTGTTTTCTTGTGATTTCTGCTGCTGATGTTTTATTGTAACGTGACTTTGATATGTGATGTACGTTTATGGCCTGTATGGGGAATGACTGTTTATTCAAATTGTGTGTATCGTGTTTGTGATGCGAGTGTAATATATTGTATTTGTCATGTTTGAAAATGTTGAAGTGAATGCCAGTTAAGGTTTTAATACATTGAATGGAAGTATTGAAACCATTGTATTCAGTTACCGGAATTGGCATATCACAGTTCATGGTAAAGATGTGTTTTGTAAACTATATCCTCGAAGTATATCTCAGATTGGTCAGGAATTTTCTTGCATCAAGCCTTAGTGCATAAACAGAGGCAGTCATGGATGAAAATGTGTCCATGTTTCCTGTCATATTTCATTAACAGAGAGGGGGACACGGGTGGCACGATTCGCTGTGCAGAGTTGCGTCCCTTGGGCACGCTAGAAACCGATGATTGTGGGTAAGAATCCCGGTTCGCCCCGATTATGTTTCTAGGTTTGTCAGCACCATACCCGTGCTCGTGGATTTCACCGAAGTCGTAAACGTCTGAGACCTGCATCACTTCGGGCCTTCCTCCTACATTAAGCTGACACGCGTTGATGCGAGGGGTGAAGAATCGGACTGCTGGGGTGGCGTTATAGCGAGGTGCTGAAAGCGAGCATGTTGATGTCTGGCACTGTGTATGTTGATGTCTGGCACTGTGTATGCTGATGTCTGGCACTGTGTATGTTGATGTCTGGCACTGTGTATGTTGACGTCTGGCACTGTGTATGCTGATGTCTGGCACTGTGTATGTTGATGTCTGGCACTGTGTATGTTGATGTCTGGCACTGTGTATGTTGATGTCTGGCACTGTGTATGTTGATGTCTGGCACTGTGTATGCTGATGTCTGGCACTGTGTATGTTGATGTCTGGCACTGTGTATGTTGATGTCTGGCACTGTGTATGTTGATGTCTGGCACTATGTATGTTGACGTCTGGCACTGTGTATGTTGACGTCTGGCACTGTGTATGTTGATGTCTGGCACTGTGTATGTTGACGTCACGCACTGTGTATGTTGATGTCTGGCACTGTGTATGTTGATGTCTGGCACTGTGTATGTTGATGTCTGAGTGATTCGTGCAAAACATTTCTCTACGAAGAAGCCTGGCCAGTTCTGTCTTTTGACATATACATGATATTTCACGAGACACATAGAATATCCTATTTAGTAGATACTTTTGGTGTAGTTGTCTATTGGAAGATTACTTATTTCATTACAAATGTAAAACCTTGAAACGTAAATTCTCCCTACCTAACACACAGGGACGGGTCACCACCCCTTGTATTTGCGACTAAAAAAGTAGTTTCGTGTTTGCAAAATCTTACAAAATATACACAAAAGTATAACAAAAATATTTAGGGTAGCGAAACTTCTGTATCGTACATATAGATATAAGTATATACAAAATCAACTTTAACAACAAATATTCTTGAAAACTTCGCGATCGCAGTTGGAAGCGAAAGAATACACGCTGGTCAAGTAACAAAAATGGCGCTTTGTGATACGAACGGTCTCGATGGACGAGTTAAGAGAAATTTACAGTTCATAACGGAACATTTTCAAGAGAATCACAAACAGCATGAAGCGATATTTACTTCATGAATGACCATCTGTCCTTATTTTGCCATGTCAGTGTGGAACTACCGTAATAAGGAAGTCAACAGTTTGTGAACGGGCCAGACACTTACGATAAAAGGAGACAATTTGAGGGGAGGTCACTCTTGTATGACAATAGTTCCGTGAAAGTTATGTTCACAGCAGTGAAATAGCAAGTGTTATGTTCACTACAGTGAAATATCAATTGTTATATTCACTTCAATGAAAATATCACTTTCTTCAACTTCGGTAAATTCAGTCTTTCACACGTAAGTATATAATAAAATTCCCAATCGAACATTGCCCACAGGACAATTCCCCACCACGCATTTCCCAACAGGATTTTCCCACAGGACAATACAATACCAACAAAGACACTTCTTCCACCAATAAAGGGATAGTTCCCAACACCCAACAATAACTTGCTGTTAGTGTGACAGAAGGATTTGTTTTCTTAGCATTATATTATAGGAGCAGATGAATAAAGGGCTTGTGTTTCTTATAATAAACAGAGTTTAGTAGTGAATGATTACTGTCGTTGAAAAAACCTCTCCGTTCAATAAAGAACAATCATTATCTTATTATTCTCTTGAGGATTTCATCTTAAAAAACACATTCTCTTACTTTTATTAATTGATTATTCATATACTTGTCGTTGGTGAATATGTATTGAAAAATGGATTTCAAACATGACAGGTGTCCGAAACAAAATTTTGCTTCAAATAATTTTCTTTTTACGTTTTTAATTCACTTGCATGTGTGGAAATAAAGATCACCAAAATCACCAAACGTTTCGTTCAGTTTAAAACCTTACCAACTGATTGTAGAGAAGTAACTAGTCGTTGAGAAAATAGCGTATTCAAAATGCTTCGGAAGGGAGATAACTCCCATTAGAGAACGTGCTATTTATTGTCAACATGGACCTTCATCTACAGGTCAAACGACCAAACGTGTGCCAAATACAGTTTCAGAAATCAGTAGTTTGTTTACAAAATACAATTGCTGACATGTTATGACCCATGCTAAGCGGTTGTCACGTTGTATGAGATCGAACAGACCGCTAAGCAGTGGCGAGAATATAGGCAATGACAGTCAGTGAACGGTAGCACCAGCAGACTGGCGGAATGCCCAAGTGAAATTTCTCGCAAACCGGCTGCATGGATATTGACATTAAGTGTATTGATTTGTTCACGTGTCTTATCGTATATTAGTCTGAACTTCAGGCTTAGCGTTTCTGGATAAATATTTAATGTCGATGGTGTTGCTTGGTAATACGCTAAATATTAACACAAGAATTTCACCAAGAATTCCCCAACCCTAGACCTGCTTGCTCAGCACGTTCACAGACAATGCATTCCAGTATTCTTACAGTGGCAGCCTTGTCAATGATATATGTCGACTGGGCGGGTGCTTCTGTCGGAGACAGATCCTGGTTTTATCAGAAGTGTGTGAAAAACTGCAACACAAGCAACTGTATCAACGAAGAGACGTTTCTTCAAAAACAACCATATCATCTTCAGTTGTTGCAGTGGAACTGTACGGATGAATGTAAATATGAGTGTATGTGGCCAACTGTTGATGCTTTTAGACGTGATGGAAGTGGAGTTCCTCAGTTCCATGGGAAGGTAAGGACGAACCAGGGATGGATTTAGCTTTATAAAACATACACTAAGGCAAGATATTACGGAAAAATGCAACTCAATAGTTATGTCTACATGAACACAGTGCATGTCAAAATCTTTCACATTTGTGGCTAACCCTTTATGTGTCCACACAACAGCTTTTGTAACACATTGATATTTCTAAGCTTTATTTACAATACTGCTCAAACAGTCGCCGTGTTATCATGGATATTTTTAATTTGTCATGCTTTTGGGGGCTTGATGTCTTCAATCTGTGGGTACTTCAAGATAATGTGCATGTGTTTCAACTTTGATACGTTCATGAGACCTGGGTGCAACCTGTTTTTTCTGGTGCAACTTGGTTTTCATGTCAACATGTTGGTTGGTTTGTTGTTTTACGCTGCACTCAGCAATATTCCAGCTATATGACGGCGGTCTGTAAATAATCGAGTCTGGACCAGAAAATCTAGTGATTGATATCACGAGCATCGATCCACGCAATTGGGATCGATGACATGCATCAACAAAGTCAGTGAGCCTGACCATCTGATCACGTTAGTCGCCTCTTACGACAATAAACAACAAACCAATCAAACCAACCTTTTTCAGTTTTGGTATTGGTATTTTACTTTTACCATGTTTACTTTGCCTCTCCATGTCAGAGCTACAGATAAGCTCAGTATTTGCGTAAAATACCCCTAAAAATATTCAAAACCCAATTACTTTCAATTAACTTGCGCAGAGAAACGCATGTATTTTATAAAAATACCCAATGCGTAAATACCCAATGAAGCTTTTTCAGCCTGCATACATCAGAGATAATTTCCAAAACACAATTACGAGCTTATTTACTTTCATAGTCAAGCCTATATTTAGAACAGTTATATGTACATCTAAAACATTATTTCATTTTTTTGTAAATCTCAGAATGTTTACTCATTTTGGGAAAATCCCAAAAGAGTGATGAATAGATGAGTGACAAAATATTGGTTACCAAATTAAAAAAATGTAATAAACCAATTAAAATAGAAACCATCGAGTAAAACCTCAATTGCTCAAAAAGTTATCTGGAGCTCTGCCACAGGTAGTCTCATTTATCCATACTACCAGGTACCCATCTTACAATCTGAAGTCTGGATTATTGAATGAAGAAGTTCTATTTGAAAAGTACAAATATATATATAATTTTGGCCCCAATATGTAGTGCAATACCAGGGTTTTATCTTGACCTTCAAAACTAGGGGTCCAGAAGAGTCTAATTACTAATTTCAAGGGAAATACAGGAAATATGAGGGTCCTGTAAATTAATGAAATGGTGTTGTTGACTGTTTATAAGATCTAATAATTACTTTAATTACAGGAAGTAAATATTTCTTGTCAAGAATTTGGAACAATGAACATTGTTGTACATCCCTTGAGATGCAAATATATTTTTTCTGCGTCCATTCTATACATTTGTGCATACTGGGGGCACATTTCTGCATTGCGTAAAACCCTGCAATATGTATCGCAATACAAAACTCAAACATTTCTGCGTCGCGTAAAACCCTGCAATATGTATCGCAATACAGCTCTCTGTATTGCGATATATTGCAGTACGATGTATGTGCCAATATGCCAACCCTAAGTATGAACATGCTGAGAACTTCCTTACAAATTTATTGATTATATTTTTGGGGCTGAAGAAAAATACAGTTGTAGTGAGTGAGTGAGTATGGTTTTATGCCGCTTTTAGCAATATTCCAGCAATATCACGGCGGGGGACACCAGATATGGGCTTCACACATTGTACCAATGTCGGGAATTGAACCCTGGTCTTCGGCATGACGAGCGAACGTTTTAACCAGTAGGCTACCCGACCGCCCCAATGTAGTTGACCAGCTGATAAATCAAATAATACCGTATTCGACATAATAAGCGCCCAGGGCGCTCTCAAAATTAGATATAGGGGGCTCTTATTAGAATATTATTTTGAGTTGAAAGATCATTAATTTCGTGGTTTATGCTGACAGCCTGAAATGTTTATATACGACAGATATATTTTTCCAGGATTTAATTACCCATAATGAAGGGTGCATATAACATACGAATGCGTATTATACACAAATAAATAAGTCTTGTGTACATTAATCAATTGGAAGGGGTGCTAACTGAGATTGTTCACTAGCCAATATATTAGCAAATATCGCTGTGGGCGCTTATTAGAGCAGGGCGCTTATTACGTCGAATACGGTATTAACAATGCCATTAACATGATTAAGCATGTGAAGTGCATATATCTTTCAATATCTGACAACTAATATTTCATGCATTGAGGGGCGCATTGGTGGTCAGGTTGTCAAAGCATGCCAAGGCACCTCAGTTGCTTGCAGAGTTGTGTCCCTTGGGCTTGCCAGAAACCTTTGATTGTGGGTTTGAATCCCAATTCTCTGATTGGTTCTGTGTTTGTCTGCACCATACTCGTGCTCGTGGGTTTCTAAAATGTCTGAAACCTGCTTCACTTCAGGCTTTCCTCCAACTTTAAGCTGACATGCTGGGATGTAACTGGAGTGCATTTGGTTGTAGTGTTAAAACCCACTCACCCATGCATTGAACTAGCAATAAAGCTTGAGTAGTATATTCTGTTTTTTACCATGTTTACCAGACATATTGGCTGGTGGTTTTTTTGCAATGAATGTCAAGCCCTGGATACAGGTGTTGGAATCACTTGTGCTCTGTGTCAAATTTTATTAAAATCAGATCTTAGTTCTCGCAACCGCTAAACAAAGATCTGAGGACAACCTTTCATCGGACCAATCAGAGCGTCGCTTACCAGATCATGAAAGTGACAGTTGGAATGTGTTTTGTAATCATGCAACTTCGAAAACTTAAACACGGGGTATTCGGTACGATAGTTACAGGCTTAATGACTGAATCCATACAATCTAGACCATTTGTTATTCCAGAAGGTTCTTTTGTTCAGGTTTCAATTTTTTAATCGAGAATTTGTCAAAATATTTATGAACGTAGTCGCCGATTTGAAGGTAGTGCTGTAAGGCATGAGAAAGCTGCCTTTTGATTGGCTAATGTCAACTTCTTGTCAGTCATTTCATTGGTCGGTCAAAGTTCGCACAACGTTGGTCTGACCCATAATGGTGTGTTCTCAGATCTTTGTTTGGTGGTAGCGAGAACTAAGATCTGATTTTAATGATATTGACCTGTGTAGATATACCCTTTTTATCCCCCCAGCATATAACATGTACCATATAATGTCTGTCTGTCCCTCCATCCGTCCATATTTCATTTCCTAACTTGAAAACCCTGAAGGATTTTCATCCAAACTTTGTACATGTACGTGTATTAACCTGAGGCTGATTTTGTTAAGATCTCTTCAACTCGTCTAAATAGTTTGAATTGTAAATAAATATTGTATTGAAGCAAAAAAAACATATGGACATATTTCAGACAAAAACATCAACTAAGTAATACTCGATTTTTACAGTCAAATTTTAATCTTTCTTTTCCAAGTGGCCGTTTGTCCGCTTCTTTGGGATACAGGAGCCTGCATCCACTCTGTTCTCCATCCTCAATGCCTTGTCCCATCTGGGGCTGATCTGGTTTCGGTCGCAGGTGTCCAAGTCCTGCCCTCTCTACTACGTCTGGCACGGGGCGGCTATGGTAGGTTAACACTTCACTCACCGACGTACCCGTGAAGATCCGGGTTAGAATAGGTTTTCAGCAACACATGCCTGCCGTAAAAGTGACTATGCTTGACAGGATAGGTTGATCAGGCTCACTGACTTGGTTGATGCATGTCATCATATCCAAATAGCGTTGTTCGATGCTAATGATGTCAATCACTGGATTGTCGGGTCTTGACTCACTTTTTTACAGACCGCTGTCATATAGCTGGAATGTTTCTGAGTGCGGTGTTAAACAACAAACAAAATAAACAACAAACAAACAAACCTGATGGAGAACACCACATCGCCCTACTGAACATGTTAAACATTCATGCTTCATTTGTTTGTTTGTTTGTTTGTTGTTTAACGCCGCATGCATGCATGAACCAAGAACCAAGTCAGCGAGCTTGACCACCCGATCCTGTTAGTCGCCTCTTACGACAAGCATAGTCTCCTTTTACGGCAAGCATGGGTTGCTGAAGACCTATTCTACCCCGGATCTTCATGGGTCTGATAGTTGATGTACACAGATGTCTTGCACAAAGAATCAAACGTGCCTCCCATCACACTGTTTTTAAAAATGTGTATAAAATTAAATAATTGATTTATTGTTTACAGGTTGCGATTAATGCTTGGACGTGGTCCACTGTCTTCCATACAAGAGAAACCAACTTCACCGAGGTAAGGTACACTTTGGCCAAAACCACCTACTGCTGTTTCAGGGAGCATGGACCAATCAGAAAGGCCTGTAGGGCATATTCAGAAATGATATTAGTTGCAATTTTTCTTTCATATTTAGATCAGAATAGTAACAGCAATTATAACATGTGGAAACATTCAATGTTTTATCGGAATGAAAATGTGGGATTCTTGACGTCTGTTTCCATAGAACTTTTGGATAGCAAGTGGAACAATGGGTCGGTCAGGTTACCTGAAACACAAGAATATTTTGGGGGAGAGGCCCTCTGGTCAATAACATACATGTAGCTTCATATGTGTGCCCGCTGGTACATATTATCACCATCATAAGTTAAATATAACAAATTCAAAATGTGTTGCTAATCAATCTTATTAAAATCAGATCTTTTTCTCCAATATGATACAGGGGGCACAGGTGGCCCAGTCGTCTAAGGCGCTGCGATTCGCTGTGCAGAGTTGCGTCCCTTGGGCACGCCAGAAACCTATGATTGTGGGTTCGAATCCCGGTTCGCCCCGATTATGTTTCTAGGTTTGTCAGCACCATACCCCTGCTCGTTGGTTTCACTGAAGTGGTAAACGTTTAAGACCTGCATCACTTCGGGCTTTCCTCCCACATTAAGCTGACACGCCGTGATATAACTGGAATACTGTTAAAAGCGGCGTTAAACCCAACTCACTCACTCACTCACTCCAATATGATACCTCCTCATTGGTTAAGTTTGGGACACCTCAACCAGGAGCAAATTTTGACCTTCAAAATAAAGATTGTGTAGATTCTTTATCTAATCAGACATTCACTTTCTAAAATGATTCAGCTCTTGCCGGCTTCATTTATTTGCGGTGATTCAAAAATAATGATTTGTACAGATGGAAACCCACACAGACCACAAATGATCACCCGTTTTGGGTGTAGAAGCTATGGTGCTCTGAAAGATAGGGTGTATGAAAATATCTACGGAAATATAATGGCACAGACTTACTTATCTGCATTTGGAACTTGTGGTTTTAGTTTGTTTTTCGAGATACAGAAATCAGTTATGCTGGTCTGAGTGCTTCACTCCCTCATACCAAGACTTTGGAGTCTTGATGCTGATTGGCTAAGAAGAAAGTTCACATGACACAACTGCCTGTGGAGGGTTCCTTAGACCTACAAGCAGAGTGGTATCGTATTTGAGTCAAAGATCTGAGATTGTTTATGATTGAATTGGAATAAATTAAGCAAGATTAGAATGCTGCTTAAAGAAGTTCACAATTATAATCATGAAAATTAACCAATCAGCCATTCATGATGTTTGTAGTGAGTGAGTGAGTGAGTTGGGTTTAATGCCGCTTTTAACAGTATTCCAGTTATATCGCGGCGTGTCAGCTTAATGTGGGAGGAAAGCCTGAAGTGATGCAGGTCTCAGACGTTTACCACTTCAGTAAAACCCACGAGCACGAGTATGGTGCTGACAAACCTAGAAACATAATCGGGGCAAACTGGGATTCGAACCCACAATCATAGGTTTCTGGCGTGCCCAAGGGAAGCAACTCTGCACAGTGAATCGCGGCGCCTTAGACGACTGGGCCACCCGTGCCCCCTGATGTTTGCAATTAATTATAATTTAAAAATCTGTGGGAATTAATGTGTATGTCCCTTGTACGTCTGAATGGAGAGGGGAGCTGTTGTCTTTCGGGAATAACATTTCCATGATGAAATTCACATATATTTCTTGAAGACAGTGTTTTACGTCGTCATGTGTTACCATGGAAACTGATCGACATACACATGATAAAGATGGTCTCTGTTTCAGAAAATGGACTATTTCTCTGCCTTTTCCATTGTGCTTTACAATGTGTTTATCTTCAGCTGCAGGTGAGTACAGAGAAGAATTGTAAGTGTTCATTAGATTGAAACCAATGATAAAGATGATTCTTGTACAGAGCTCCAGATGACTTTTTGAGCAATTGAGTTTTTACTCGAAGGTTTTTATTTTAATTGGGTTATTACATTTTTCATTGGGTAACCCATATTTTTTCAAAAATTTAGATTTCAAAAATAATAAAAAAATGTTTTAAATGTAAATAACAGTCCTAAATATAGGCTTGACTTCAAAGGTAAATAAGCTCGTAATTGTGTAAAAAATTCAAAAGCTTCATTGGGTATTCACGCATGCTGTTTTCAAAAATTGAGTTTTCCATTTAATGCGTTTCTGAACGCAAGTTTTTTTTAATGTAATTGGATTTTGAATAGTTTTGGGGGGTATTTTATGCAAATACGCAGCTTATCTGTAGCTCTGGTTGTATCTGTCGTATGACAAGTCTTGAGTAGGTTCTAATGTTTGTTCAGGTTTGTAACAGTCGTGCTTAACATCTAAGATGGCTGACCCCGCCGAGCAATTGTGTTATATCGCATGTGAAGTTCAGTACATGTAACGCACCTCGCACATGAAGAGTTACCCTACATAGTTACCTCCCCTATACCACTACGTGGCTGCATAGCATATATACCACAATGATGAAAAGAAAACATGTCAAGATTGCAGTAATACATTGTTGATGAACATAACATGACTGCAGTGACAACTTAGTGGTGGTGGTGATGATGATGATGATGATGTTGATGTTGATGATGTTTATGATGATGTTAATGATGTTTATGACAGTGATGACAACTATGATGATGATGATGATGATAATGATGATGACTTTAATAGGGATGGGAATGTAGATGGCAATGATTATAATTATTATTATTGTGACTGACTGACGATGTTGATTAGTTGACGATGATGGTGACTATGGTTGTGATGATGACGTTGCTTTTGAATGTGTCTAGGATTCTGGGGACGAAAGGAAGGCGTCAGTGGGTGGTGGGTGTGTTCCTTCTCGTGATCTACGCACAACACATCCGCTTTCTCACTTGCACCAGGTTTGACTACGGTTATAACATGAAGATAAATTTATTCTTTGGTGAGTTTGAAGTTTTCTTCTCTGCCAAAATATTTCTGAAGTCAGTTGAGGTTATGGCATGGTGTAATATCCCCGTCGGCTGTTCATCATCCGTTAATTTAAGATTCTACATTTTAATTTTGGCTGTAAGAATGAAATTTTCAGAGAATATAGGACTCAAATTTCAAAACAGTTTTAAAATGAAAATATTACATGAAGTTTTTTATGGTCGAGGAATCACAAGCATTTATTTTATGTGTAGCAGCATCATGGGATGTCCCTCCTAACGACCAATCACATCAGTAAAATAACATCGAGCAACCAATTAAGCAATTAATGTGAACCAGCCCATAGACCACAAGGTGAGAATGATAATGCTTAGTGGAAAGTATGAACAGTAATATGGCTCATATCCTTGGCCTCATGGGTATGAACACTTTTGAAAAACAAAACAAATTTCTTGCAGGCATGGGGAACAGCGTCGGATGGTTGATATGGTGCGGCGTGAAGTACAAGAAACAACGCTATGTGTGGAAGTGTGCTGCTTTTGTTTTAGGAATCAATGCGTTGTTGTTGCTGGAGGTGTTTGACTTTCCGCCATTCTGGTGGATGCTGGATGCACATGCACTGTGGCATGCTGGGACGGCTCCCCTCGGGTTGCTGTGGTACAGGTGAGTTCATCCCTCCGAACCGCCTCCGTGGTCTTGTGGTAGTGCGTCCGCCCGGAGAGCGGAAGGTCCGGGGTTCGATCCCCGGCCGTGTCATACCAAAAGACGTTAAAAGATGGTACTTGTTGTTACCCTGTCTGGCACTTGGCACAAGGGGCTAAAACAAGGACTCGGAGTCAGTATACTGTGTCTGAGTGATGTATTCATGTTAAACTGCGGCATGGTATCTCAGTGAGCTAGCACTATAAATCTGCATCAGTCCGGACTAGTACAAGCAGCCACACACATACACACCTGCATGCACGTCGCTATATAAGTGCAATAATGTTGGATGCGACATTAAACCCAATTTCACCACACCTCATCCCTCCGAATTACGCTGCCGTGGTTCCTGTCGTTGGGGTCACAGTACATACTGACTAATTTCGTTTTTTAATTCTCCTTTGAATCGTATGTTTTACATGTGAAGGATGTGTCTATATCATGTTAATTACAAACATCTGGAGACAAGATACATACTCTTTGTGCATTTGTTTATGATTTATGCTGAACATTAACATATTCATTTGAGAAACAGTGTCATTAAAATCAGATCTTAGTTCTTGCTACTGCAAAACAAATGTCATTAAAATCAGATCTTAGTTCTGTTACCACTAAACAAATGTCATTAAAATCAGATCTTAGCTCTCGTTACTGCTACCGCCAGAATGTACTTTTGTTTCAGTTGTTGAGTTTGGGGAGGGGTTTGAAGGGAGAGGAGAGAGGAGGATGTTTTTTAAGATAAATTGTCTAATGTCGTAATGTCGACTTCATGTAAGCCATGGTCAGTCAAAGTTCGCTTCAGGTCGTTATGATGTAATGGAATATACTGTTATACTGTTATAATGGAATGTCCTGAGATCTTTGTTTAGCAGAAGCAAATGGTGCCTGTTTCATGAGAATTGGTGTTAGCTTTATAGTCCTTTGTTTCAGTTTTATCATAGACGATTCCCTGTATCTGAAGCAGTGGGAAGAAGACATGGCACTCAAACTGGATTAACAACAACAACAACAACAACAACAACAGCAACAACAACAACTACAGATAGCATCATCATCAACAACACAAAGGAGTAACCTGCAAGAAGACTCGTCCGCTATGGATGAATGTTATGTGTGAAAATAAGACAAACCAATCAGAATGTGCGTATGATTTATAGTTCTTCGTCAAAGAATCCCTCAGAAATTTTTTTTGATTTTAGATGTCTTGCATCTAAAAATATACCTAAGACACAGTCAAATGTGTTCAATCATACTGTATAATTCCGCATGCCCCGATATGCTTTAAATTGCATATGCAATATATATAATATATGGGGAAATATATGTGAACCAATGAGTAGACAGTTGTTTTAGGTACGCCTGTTTGCACTAAGACGGACCCCGGTCGCCCAAATGGCCATGAGATGGGCATGAGTCGCTATTTGGCTTGTCCCGGAATAACACGAGTTGGTCATGAATGCTTCTAAATGCCACTTGAAGACCTTAAGGTAGTTGATGCACTGAAATATTTTTATCAAGGCACCTTACATTTGTGACTGGTATATGAATGTGTCGCACCTCTCCAACATGGAGTGGTTCACTTTAGCTGCTGATACTGAGCCCAGACTTTTACAAATCCACTGACTCCCCAAAATTGAAAGGTTGGAAAATAAAAAAAAATAAAAAGTGCACTGGGTATATATTTTGCCAACAAGAAAAAAGTAAAATAATGTTTAGCCATTTACAGCCACTATCAAAATAAATAAATTATTTCAGATACTGTAATGAAACCTGTTGAAAGTTTATCTTAAAAACATTCCCAATCCCCCGTCCCCCCCCCCCCCCAAAATGCAAAGTGTATCAAATCATGTGAGCACCTTGATTATAAACATGAAAAGATTTGGAAAGTATCTTTTCACGCCGAATTGATGGTACACATGCTTTGCAAATCCTGCAATCGATCGAAATCTGCACGGCAGTTTACTAACCACATACCGATTTCATGACACGATTTTGATTGGTCTATACCTGGACTCGTCAGTCCAGCCAAACCGTAACTCCATAATACCAGCGTAGTTCGGCAAGGATGGAATCTTGACTTTTATAGTCAGTAAACTCCCTTGCCTCGGGAAGATGTAATTACAAGTAAATAATGTGAATTGGGACATGTTTTATTCCACTATTGTCATTTTCACTGATATTAGCTGAATGCATTGGGCCATACATGGACCTTGGAGCAGGTCTAGATAAGTTCCCGACTGTTTTCTTGTGATTTCTGCTGCTGATGTTATATTGTAGCGTGACTTTGATATGTGATGTACGTTTATGGTCTGTATGGGGGATGACTGTATTCAAATTGTGTGTATCGTGTTTGTGATGCTAGTGTAATATATTGTATTGGTCATGTTTGAAAATGTTGAAGTGAATGCCAGTTAAGGATTTAATACATTAAATGGAAGTATTGAAACCATTGTATTCAGTTACTGGAATTGGGATATCACAGTTCATGGTATAGATGTGTTTTGTAAACTATATCCTCGAAGTATATCTCAGATTGGTCAGTTTTCTTACATCAATCCTTAGTGCATAAACAGAGGCAGTCATGGATGAAAATGTGTCCAGGTTTCCTGTCATATTTCATAAACAGAGATGGGGGCACGGGTGTCGCGATTCGCTGTGCAGAGTTGCGTCCCTTGGGCACGCCAGAAACCTATGATTGTGGGTTCGCCCCGATTATGTTTCTAGGTTTGTCAGCACCATACCCGTGCTCGTGGGTTTCGCCGAAGTGGTAAACGTCTGAGACCTACATCAAATCGGGCCTTCCTCCCACAATAAACTGACACGCTGTGATATAACTGGAATACTGTTAAAAGCGGGGTTAAACCCAACTCACTCACTCACTCACTAAACAGAGATGGGGTGAGGATTTTGAAAAACAGTGTCCCCACAAGACCAGTCACAGGACACACTGACATCGCTATGTCTCATACCTGCCTCTGCGAAAATATGAGTGACACTTCATCTTACAGCAACCCATGCTCGTCAGCATAGGCGACTTATGGGATCGTCATATAGCTGGATTATTGCTGAGTGCGGCATTAAGCAAAGAAAATCAAACTTGATTTGTGGTAAACTGATGGATGCTCAAATTGATGAATGGTGTAAGTATGAATTGTGATAAATCTATGCCACAAAGTATTAGAAACAAAACTGATCATTTCTCCTTATAATTATTATTCCGTAATATTGACAAATCTAAAGAACTTGTAGAAAAGATTGTTTGATTATGTTCTGTCGTGAGGTGAAGTCAAATGGGGTTTAACATCCTGTTCAAGATTACTGCACTGATATAGTGACAAGCATGCACGTGTGTGTGGCTGCTTGAACTAGTCTGTACTTAAGCCGGTTTTATAGTGCTAGCCCACTGAGATACCATGCCACAGTTTTAACATCAATACCCCACTCACAGTATACTGACTGAGCTGACCAGTCCTTGTTTGATCACTTAATGCCGAGTGCCAGGCAGGGTAACAACAAGTACCATCTTTAAACATCTTTTTGTATGACGCCGCGAGGGATCGAACCACCGACCTTTGGCTCTCTTGGCAGACTCTCTATCCTCAAGGCAATTGAGGCATCTATTCTGTAGTAACATGGTGATGGTCTTGTTTCATGTTAATAGAGTTTGTGCTATGCACTTGTACGCCACCGATGTGTCTTATGATAATTATCATTGTGTATGTGAAACATTTGTATCTGTTGAGCTGTGAAATCAAGACTTGATGTTAATGTTAAGATGGCCTTGTGTGCAGAATCTAGTGTCTACTCTTGTGCTACACATCTCTGTCACATCCCGGGGAGAAATTAGCTATTGCTGAACTGAACAACGGCGAACACTTCCTGTTAAATGTAAAACTTGCAAAATAATTCTGTGCCTAACTATGCCTTCTTGACCAGCAGGGAGAACTCCATATTGGAAATGGATTCACATGTTTGGCCGAGCTCTGTTTTTATTGTTTTGGCTTGCAGATGTTTTGAGCCAATCATTCACGCCGGGAGGTGGTTTTGAGCAGACTCATTAAAATCAGATCTCAGTTCTCGCTTCTGTTATAGTTAAGCAGTAGCGGGAACTAAGATCTGAGTTTAATGAGTTTTCACTTTGGAGAAACTTTTGATAATACTTATGATAATACTAATGATAATAATAATACTAATAATAATTGATTGTGGCCATAGATGGGTGTAATTATTGTTTCTATTGTTTCATAATGATTATGTGTAATGTGTCATTGTGCATATCTTGAGCGTAAAGATGAAGATTCTTGAAGAGAAATATGTTTCTATGTTCATACTTTTGCAATAAATTTTTGAATGCTTTTTTCAAATTTTTCATTTTTATGAGAATAGCCGAGGTTATTCTGTTCACTTTTTCATGCATCTATTTTATACATGACATGTTCATTCAGACTGGGACAAGAAGTTGCAGATTAACTTAGGTATGTGAGTGAGTGAGTTGGGTTTAACTTCGCTTTTAACATTATTCCAGTTATGTCACAGCGTGTCAGCTTAATGTGGGAGGAAAGCCCGAAGTGATGCAGGTCTCAAACGTTTACCACGTAGGTGAAACCCACGAGCACGGGTATGGTGCTGACAAACCTAGAAACATAATCGGCCACACACATAAATGGAACAACTTCTCTGCAGCTGGACCTCGCACAGATTCGTCTTTCTGTAAAAAATCCAGCAGTAAATGAATTAGGAGTAGTGCAGGATAAGTATACAAATGTATTTTTTTAATAGATTTTACTACATTTGTTCATAAGAAATAGTGCTCAATACTCCAATCCCTTCCTACACAATTATATGACATTCATTAATTTAAACATACAAGGTGCCCCTCTAGGCTCTTGCCTCAGCAAACATGACCCACCCAAACATCAACCCATCAACACAACCACTTCACGCTATCACCCATAAACCTGTTAGTTTGTACACCTTTCTAAGTCTATAGTCACACTCATTATCCTTGTAATTCTGTATTATGTGTATGATTCTTTTTGATATTTCAGGGCTAATTTGGTCCCTAGTACCTTAAGTTTCATGCAGGGGTTGTGTTTGTGTAGTATTGATATTTTTGCACACATCCATTTCAAGGAAATGAATAATGTTTTAATGTTTATGGTCTATGGGCTCTGTCTTATTTTCAATGACCATGATGACATTTCATTTTGTTTACACACACACAATTTTACAAGTGTATCCGACGAAACCATGTTATCATTGGTTAGAGACGGCAGCTAGCATTACTTGGTATACTACAATGAATACTTTTATATTAACGCCACTGACAGGTCATTCTTCATATTTTTATATCAAAGAAACAGTCTTGCGTACTTTCCGTATCAATTAGAGGGGAGGCGAACATTGGTCTGGGCAACGGACGACTACATACTATTCATATTGCCTTGTGTATTGGGTTTGGGAAAATCATCTCCGGTACCCTACTCTTGGTATAACACAAAGACCTTTTGCGACAACCGACAGATCGCTCTACACATTGGTTTAAAAGAAATAGCATATTTGTATTTTCCATATAAATTTATAGGCGGAGCGAAAATTGGTCCCTGAAAGGGGCAACTACAAACTTCATATTGCCTTGAATAAAGGGTGTAGTAAAATCATCAACACTGCTCACACAATTGGTACAATTCAATTATATTTACATATTAACGACTCTGTCAGGTCACTCTACACATTATTATTATATAGAAAAAAACCAGACTTACGTATTTTCCATATCAAACGGGAGGCGAACATTGGTCTGGGAAAGGGGCAACAACAGACTGTTCATATTGCCTTTATAGGGTGTTTGAAAATCCTCCTCGCTACCCCCAAAGTTGGTATAATACAATGATTTTTTGATAGACTTAGTCCACTGGCATGTCACAGTTCACATTATATAAGAGGAAATGTATTTTCCATATTAACTAAACCAGAGGCGAAAATTGGTATGGGAAAAGGACAAATACAGACTGTTCATATTGAGTGTGGGGAAATCATGGTCAATACTTTACAGCTAGAATGATGAAATTAGTATTTTATATTTACGCCACTGAATGGTCTCTCTA